TAGAGGCCATACAGGTTTAAATTTAGACATTCCTTGTGGGGTGGAAATTCAAAAAAAGTGTTCTTTACCTGGTGAGGTGAAGAACACAGCTCGCAGGTCTTCATTGTGGGTCACCTGGAGAACCTCTCCGGTGACGTTCACCAGCCTGCCAGCGACCGGTGGGACCCTCCGGAAGTCCAGGATCCTAACAAACACCAGATTGGGAAGAAAACCCATACAGAAGTGAAATATCTCTGCTTCTACATCACAGTCCCCGCGTACATGAATGTAAATGTGTCGTGAACCTCCTGAAGATGATTGCAGTCTTATCTCTGTCTCCTTACCTCATCTCACAGGAGCCCCACGCTTCAGTTTTACTGATTCTTATCAATGGATGCATCCCCCTCGACAGCCTCCACACTGTGTAATCCAGCCGGCTGTGTTTATGTACACTATCAAGAGCTTATGCCTCCCCGAGGGCCCAGTCGTGTCTCACAAACAGTAATCAAGCAACAATCAGTGTGTGGAGCTGAATTGCTGTTTCTAAAATTGATGGCCTTCCCCAACCCCTGATTGCGAGTGATAATGATAAGGGCCTGTGGCAGCCGAGTCAGACACAACAGAGAGAGACGACACACTGCCACCGAGCGAAAACACACCAAATTAAAAATAGGAGAGAGCAGAAACTGTACAACGGATGTCCAAAATACGAGCAGATATACAGTAAAAATGACTTTTTGAGTGTGATTGTGGTAATTGTTTGAGCTGCTGACGCGGCTTCTCCTCTTGTTGTTTTCTGTCTTGTGTGGCGATGACTTGTGTGTGGCTTCTTAATGATAGCGTCTGGCTCAGATGACTGTATTTCAAAGTGAATCACCTCACCTCAGCTAATGTGCTATTGCATCAAGATGTGTGTGTGTGTGTGTGTGTCCTTGTCTATGTCCAAACACTGCGGTTTTTACTGATCAGCGAGTTGGGAAATCCTGGGCAGGGCACACATGTTGCAATCTCTCTGGAGGCTGGCTGATGCATTCGGTGGCAGAAGGAGACTCATTTTTTATTCTGTTTGTTGGAGAGCATTCGGAATTTTTATGATTCTTTTGTTTTTATTTATCAGTGTGTGCCATTACAGCAGTGTGTCTCTATGATTACCTTCCTATTTTTTTTTTGAGGTAAACACAGTAAACGTTTTTGATCATTTCTGTTTATATAAACTTCAGTCCACAGCCAGAATGATGACATGAATACTGATGCATGTTTGAGGTGGGATGTTTACCATCTTCCTAGTTTCTTAGTTAAGCAAGTTGACATTCTAGCATTTGCTAATTAAATCCAAACACAAGGGAACATTCGACCTGATGATGACTTTAGATGAAAAGTCAACAAAGTTATTGCCGTTCTTGCCACCAGTGGAACCACTAGTACAGCTGAATATAGTTATAATGCACAAAAACAAAAGCATTTGTTGCACCGCTGTTTATGCTAGTGATCACAGAAGTATTTAGATCCAATGTAAAAATACTCCATTACAAGGAAAAATCCTACTTAAGTAAAAACACACAAGCATGAGTGGTAAGATGTAGCTAAATTATTAAAGTAAAAGTACTGGTTTGGTCCCTAATATAAATGTATTCATACCCTTCCATTAAAGACAAGGCAATACATTTGAGGACGACTGTATATGTGTGTATATGTGGCTGATACATGAAGTGGTGGAAAAAAAATGCAGGTCCTTGACTGAGTAAATGTACCAACGTAGCTATGTAAAAATAGTCCTTTAAAACTAGAATCCTACTTAAGTAAAAGTACCTCATTATAAGCATTTCATTACATTATTAATAGTGAAGCTTCAGTGTGTTGTAGCTGCTGCAGTTTAAACTACTTCATGTTCAGTTTTATATACAGTGAGTGATACAGGTAAGTCTGAGGTGTCTGAGGGAAAAAAAAAGTTCTGATAAAAAAAACCGTGTCTTGCGTTTTCCAACTTTTTTTCTAATCTTTAAATGTTTGCTGTTCATTTGAACATCCATTGAAATGAAACCATGTCAGAAGGTTAGAGGGGGAAAAAATCCTATTTGGTGTAGCCAGAGACAGCTCACAGACATCTGAAATGTGCTGTTTTTTGTAAGAAGCCAACAAGGTTGACGTCCACTGGTTTAATCCTTAAACTGTCTTGTATTTTAAAGCTTGTTAAATTATTCATTGTGTACAATCTTTGTCTTAAAGGCAACCTAGGCTGTCAAATAAATGTTGTGATGTAGAAAGTACAATATTTCCCTTTGAAATGCAGTAGCTGAAAGTAAATAGTAGCATAAAATGGATCCCATAAATTGTACTTAAGTAAAGTATTTGACTAAATGTCCTCATTAACTTTCCACCACTGGTATACACAAGGCAATAAGTGGCAGCAATAAAATGACAGATGTGCAAACAAAACCAAAATTACCCCCAAGCATCACCGTCACTTCATTTTACTGAGCAGGCACTAAAAACACCCCGAGTGTAAAACTGCAGCGACAATAAAGTGATAATGAGGCTGCACCTGTCCAGGTGGAAAGCAGCGATCTCTGCGTTGTGCCTTTGAAGGTCGACGAAGTAGAAGGAGTCCTCGGGAGTCTCCTCGTCCCTCCGCTGCCTGAGACACACACAAACACACAAACACACACACACACACACACACACAAACACACACACACACACACAGTGATCAAGCCGTCAGTCTCCTCTGTGGTATATAATCAGCAAGACATATACTGTAATGTTAACAGGTGGCCTCAGGATGGTCACATAGATGAATATAACACATGACACTGGACCGTTATATAATGTTGTGCAGCTTTTCATGGTTTGTTGGATTTCATGGACATCGATTTAATGCTTCACTTGTTGGATATAAAAATCATACAAGCAGCAGTAAAAAGTACATAAGTGCATTCACTCAAGTACTTAAATATTATTTTGACATACTTGTACTTTACTCAAATATTTCCATTTTATGCTATTTAATATTTCTACTCTTCTACATTTTAAAATTGTAATTTCAATTCTACAACATGTATCTGACAGCTTTAGTTTCTTTTAAGATTGCTTATACTTTATGCCTTCAGAGTGTAGTTCTGGTCAGTTTTGACCCGGACCATACTGCGAAGAATTACTGTCAAGAATTCCCTCATACTAAGTGTCTATACCAAATTTTTAACAACAGATCTATTTAGAATGTCTAAATAGCCGATGTCGCATTAATAAATGTAAATAAAATCTACACATAAAACAAGACCTGTACAGTTTCAAGATTCCCTAAAACCCACATTTTCCTTGATCTGACCCACACTGGTAGACCTTAAATCCATCTTAATAGATTTGGGTCAAATTTGACCTGAAACAGCCTCAGTCTACAAACATTTGTAGCACCTGTATAAAAGTATAACATTTTAAAATATTTTAATTTTTGTGTGTTTTGGGTCACAAAATCATCAAATTTCAGGCTCAAAGACTGACGTTTAGGGTATTGTTACTGCTGTCAAATGTCAAAAATTTGACCAGAAACAGTATGTAAGGGTAAACACACTGTTTTTTGGCATCTGATGTCTTACAAAAAGCAGTGCGTCAGATTTGATATGTCTTCAAGTTTCACCAAATAGTGATTTTTCTCTATAAACTGCTCACTTGGTTTCATCTCCATAAATGTCCAAATGACCCAATATCTCAGTGAAAATCAAAGATTAGAAAAAAGAACTCAAAAACTTGAAACAGATTTATGATTCAGAACTTTTCTCCAACATAAATCATGTGATGACACCTCAGATTTATCTGCTGTCCCTGAACATAAAACTGTATATAAAGTAGTTCAAACCTGCAGCAGCTACAACAGCAACAAGCTGCTGACGCTCTGATGCTTCACTACTATTAATCTATTGATGCCGTATACACAGTCGTCCTCGAGTCTATTCATACCCTCCCATGAAAGAAGGAAAACAACTGCTGTCACTGAAATAAGTTGAATTTGAAACTTCATTAAAAATGTAATGAAAATCATGACATTGCTTTTGAATGGTGGTTCAACAGAAATATTAAACTTTTGTTTATTTTTTTAAATGATTCTTTTCAACCACAATTTAAAAGCAATATGTTATTTCACTAGATTATAATTTAGCAAATTTTTATTTATTATTACTTTTTTCTGTTTCTAGTTCTTTGAGTGACTATTGTGAATTTTGTCTTTTCTTTAATGGAAGGGTAAGAGTACACTTGAGGACGACTATAATGATACATCAGTCAGAGGGACCAAACCATAGCTTTTACATTAATACTTAAACTATTTATTTGATGCTTATTCTTATGTACTTTCACTTAAGCAGGACTTTTACAAGTAGTCTAGTATTTCTACATCACTGTGTTGCCACTTGTATCTCAGTGAGGGCTCTGAATGCTCCTTCCACTACTGCTTATACAGTGTTTGATCAAAACGAGGTCATTCATCAAACACGGATTCACCTCATCGGTTTAAACATGGCTTTAGCGAAGTTCTTCATTTTCAGAGCCAGCTTCAAGTGATGCCCGCTGGGTTTCACCACTGCAGGAGACAGACAGAAAGAAGACGAGTTGAAACGAACCATCTTTATATCTGTTACATTATTTAGAAACCGACTCCCACGTTACACCGAGTCAAATTTAGGGTTTGAACATCAGTTTGGAGCGTCAGGTAACCGAGTCAGTCTTGGGAGTATTTTTTTAGATTTAAATCCCCCAGAGGCCGGTTCGAACTGTGGAATATTTTCTGGGTCTGCCTGTTCCCTGTGATAAAGTAATTGGAGGTTAGTCACACAGCTTGCGCTCTTTCAGCGAGCAGCATTCCTCTCTCTCTGTCTGTGTGTATATTATGTCACAGCAGTAGGCCAGACTAACCGCACACACGCCTCCCCACCTCCACCGCCGCCACGCTCAGTGAAACTTCAGGGTATTAATAGTTAACAATCGCTTTGGGTTTTACAATCAGAAATTTGCTGGAAATGAATCACAGGGGGGGAACGGGCTGCTCTTTGTGGTCGATGGACACCGCTTGAAATAATGAGGAAGTTTCATGAGGTTAAATTTAAACGCGAGGGGACTGATTGTTTTGCCGCTCGTTTCTTTTTTGGCGGTGAATGATGTTTGTGTGGTCACGAGAACAACGAATATAAATGACTTCATCTGTATTGGCCGAACACATCCTATAAAGTTATTCGTTTGACTTAAAAATATTGAAAAACGGAGCTATTTTTCATCCTTAATGCTCAAATTGGTAGCCGAAAAGCACATTACAGCCTCTACACGTGTATTCTATCCATTTGTAAGCCTCATTAGGTTCTCTTAGCCAGCAGCTAGCTGCAACGCTACTCCATCCATCACACAACAACATCTATTGTTTGTCATGTCACTGACTTTCAATTATCCGTCCATACATTCGCAGCTTTGTCTTGCATGTGGCTCTGAGGTAAACTAGGAGATGACAGCGTAGGTGGCGGCTGCTGCGCGAGACGTCGGCTTTCCCTCGGAGCACGCAGACATCAAACATTTAATTAAGGGCTCCGTCTTTGAACGCCAGCGAACGCCTGGTGTTTTTTGCCCCACAGCACGTGTCTTACGCACGGAGACAAATCTGAATTTTTGGTGTCAAATGAAAAGCAAAAAATCCACGCTATCACAAAGGCGGCAGTGTGTTTGTCTTCCGATGGTACCGCCAAGCGGAGAAGAGGAGGAGGGAGGGAAACAAAAAGAGAAACAAAGAGGCGAGTCAGAAATCAGACACTTGCTGTTACACACCGAGCGCAAAATGTGCAGCGTGAGATTAGAGATAAAGAACATGAAAAACTCCCTGGAAGTTGTGAAGTCTTATTAAAGGCTGACCGTACCTTGGGTGCAATCACACGCTCCTTTCAGGGCTTTCTCATCTTGAGTGTAATCTGTAAGAGAATTGATCAAATTACAGGTGTTATATGCAGAACAGAAAATGACCATCTCCTTATTACAAAGCGCTTAAAGCACACAGTGTAGCACTCGTGTTTTAACTGACTACTTGCATGCAGATGTTTTCAAAATCCCATCTGCACTTCACCTGCGCTGACAACTGCCATGTTCTGCATGTCCTTGAGGAGCTGGAGGACAGCCGGGTCATCGCGCGAGTACAGAGCGTAGCGGTTGATTCCCAGGTGGAACTTGAGCCAGCTGGCGTCGGGGTCGTAGGTCACCTCATGCTCAGTCACAGTGATGTTGGCTTCAGCCGCTGCCTCACTGTACAGCTTCATGTGTCTGGGGAGGAGGAGGAGGAGGAACGGAGCTTAACTGTACAGGACATGATTATCTCTCCCATTCAATATCAGAAAAACAGAAAATAGCAGACATGTTATCTTACTGTACTTTTTGTTTTCTATAAAGCAACTATAAATGCTGCATTACTTAAAATCACTTAGGTGACTTAAAGAAACCAGAGTTCTTGCTTTTGCTGAACCTGGAATACTAAATTCCTTTTTGGTCATTGATTAACCCTATTCAGGACTTTCATGTTGCCATATGTACAAGGTCTTTCGGGGTTCATTGGACCCCAAGAAAGAATATGTGCAAAACATTTGTTGGTTTTCATTACAGACTTTCATACTATGTTAACTACCTTTTCTGATAAGTTGATGTATTTGTGGTTCCAAATGTAAGACAAATGTCCCTCCTGAATAGAGTTAAACCCCTAAAAACTCATTTTTGTGTATCAAAGTTCCACATTTAGAAGTTTTTCTCCTTCCTTTCCTGCCTTTAAACCTCCCTATGCATGGATCTATGAGGTCCCTGCCTATTTATCCACCAACCCCTCCGCCACAAGAAGCTCAAGCACACCAGCTCACCTTCAACTCTGCTCAATCACTGTAAAACTACTTTTTGCTAAACAAGTTGTAATACTGGAGTAATTCAGCCATAAGTGGTCAAGTCAGAATTGGTTCTTTGTTACATATGAAACCCCAAAAAGCTAGAACTCATGTTTTTGAGACTGTCATCAACACGCCGCAGTTTTAAAGTGGAAATATTCCACCACTGCGTCGACTGCTCATTTCTATCTTGATATATCTTCTAGCATGTAAACGAACACACAAGAAATACCACATGGACATGTTCACAAGAAGTCTTTAAACAACTGCGAGCTGGGAATCACGAGCAGGAAGGTTAAAATTACTCTGAACATTTTTTATGGACAGTATTTAATTTTGTGTAGCCCACAGACTTGGAGAGCTCCGTCTGGTGCCAGAAGTCCATGGCATGAACTCGCATTCAACAGGTTTTATTTAGAGCAGGTTATTCATAGATGCATTACAAACAAAGGAAAATCTGAGAAAGCATATTGGGATTCAGACTGAATGTATAAAACATATTGTGTTTTTACTGCTTGTTTTATTTGCCAATTTACACGTGTGTACGTTTCTCTTTTACTATATTTGGCTTATTTTTAGGCTTTATGTTGGGTTTGAATGTAATTGTAACACATTTCAAATTTCCACTCCTTCCCTCCCTCTCTAGCTGAAGCAGAAGCAAGAATAATCTGATACCAAAAGAAGTCCGTCTGTGGTGAGAGGAGCAGCACATGGCCAGAGCTGACCACACTGAGTGGGTCTACACAAACACACTCCATCCCAGCATGAAATAACATTCTGAGATAATGGGCTAAAAATATGTGTTTTGTCGGTCATCTCTACCAACTCAGTACCCAACCAGAAGTGACAGATCGGGCTAATCAGGACTCTGGACAAGTGCAGACCGCAGAGTGTGGAACATGAACAGAGAGCTGGAGTGGAAAAGAGACTCTTGCATGCAATGTAGTCGCACATCACACGCAGCACGCACATTAAACTGCCTCGTTTGAGCCGTCTCTGTCAAAACATGTGTTTATTGCAACGCCGAGATGCTGCTGCTGCTGCTGCTGCTGCAAGATTTTGCAACAACAAGCCTCTGGGCTAGCCATTGTTTTTGTGCACATTTGTAAGGCAGCAGAGAGGAGAGATCCAGTCCTCATATTTCTTCTTATTTTCCACCTTAAGAGCCCAAAATCTGTATCTCTCGGAGGGAGTGCACTGTGTCGGGATAGACAGACAGCCTCACAAGCCAAGACAGCTACAGCTCCCAAAGATTAACTTTGGCTTTAGCTGCTTTAAGTCCCTGTTTACCTTAAAGAGCGCAATCCAGACGCGAGAGCTCAGAATGACATGTTTGCGAGGGTTTTCTGCTTCAGCCCACTCGACACGGGGCTTTTATGACGCACAGAATTGTCAACACATCCTGTTGTCTGTCTGTGGGTGTATCTCCATTAGCATGAACAAAGTGCATACACGGATGTGTGATTTGTGTGTGCTTTAGGGTGGGTTTGACTGTAATGTCGCTGACCCTGCCTCTCGACCACAGTCAAGCCTCGACACGTGCTCTCCCAGGGGGAACATTCAGGCAAAATGTTATTCTTTCACAATGAAGTTAAGTAACTCTGGCAAGTTTAGATCACTTGGATGTTGCAACATTGAAGGGACTGCGGATAAAATAATGTGATTTCAAGAAGCTGACACCAGAAACTGACCTTTCCCAGCGCGACACCTTCCTCCTGTAGTACTCAATCAGCTGCTCCGCCTGCAGCAGCCTCTCCTCCGGTCCCAGCGCCGGAGTCTGGATGTTGTACAGAGGGTGAGCGAACAGCTTCCCCAGCTTCGAGCCTCCATCCGCAGGTTCAGGTGTGGCGCCGTCCAGCAGCGGCACAGAAGTCCAGTTGGAGAGCAGCGGCGTGGCCAGACCTCCCTGCTTCGGGAGGCTGAGGTTGCTGGAACCGCATGGACAAGAGTGTGTTCTCCCCAAACTCCTCAGCTTGGGCAGGAGGATGAAGTAGAGGTCAGCGGAGAAGATTGCTGTCAGGGTTGCCGCTAAGAAGAGGCGGTCTCTTCTCAGCATTCTGGAAATTATAGAAAAGACTAAAAACAAAAAACAAACAAACAAAAAAAACAAGAGAGAAACTATGACTATGTGCTCCTCCGGAGTGTGCGAGGCATCACTTCTCCTTCCTCCAGTCTCCCACACAGTCAGCCAGGCAGAGGCAAGCAGTCACAAGATTGGTCCAAGTCTCTCTCTTTTTCTTTTCTATCTGTGTTTCAGTCTGTTCCTTCCAGCCTCACTTTTTCTTCTCCTCCTCCTCCTCCCTTGGCAGCCACGAAAGAAAGAGCTGAGCTGAGAGCGAGCATGTGTTAGCAACAGTCACTGACAGTTTGGCTGCTTTCAGGGACCTGCTGCTCTGAAGGAAGAGAGAGGGAGTGTATATAAGTGAGAGAGTGTGTGTGTGTGTGTGTCATTTCATTGTGGGTGTGTGTGTGCAGGTATGTACACAAACATCAAATTACCGGGTAGCAGATTGAGAGAGTGAGTTAAAGCAGAAGTCCTCGAAGCAAGGAAGGGGCGGTTACGACGCACTTCTCCTTATCACAGCGGATCTGAATGAAACCACATCCAGCTGGTGTATTCACTCTGCTTGTGTTTGTGTGTGTGTGTGTGTGCAAGCGCAGGTCCAAGTCCAGATTTCATTATTGTGTGTGTAAGCTGGCTGCTTTCCTGCACGATTTCTGGCAGGAAGATAGTGAGTGTGTAAATTTACAGTGAGTGTGTGACTTGCCTTGACATCCCTTTCTTTTTGTTTTTTTTTTCCCAAGAAGGCGTGGAGACAAGCCTCCCTTCCCTCTGTCATCTTCTTGTCTCCACCCTCCTCCTCCTCCTCATTAAGTCCACTTTCACTTCTCCTTCAGCTTATCAAATCTCCTCTCCTCCGTCATCCCCGCTTGAAACTTTCATCCTCTTTGCTCCTCTCATCCCTTCCTACCCCGCTCTTTTCCTTCTCTCTTTTTTTTTTTTTTTGTTTTGCTTCTTTTCGCCACAGACCTCCAGTCTGTCTCGCTCCAGGCAAAAAATTCCCAGCTGCACTTTCCTTCCTGCTGCAGTTCCCACACATGAATCTCTCACTTTTCTCCCCTTTTTTCTCGGCTGAGACACACACACACAGAAAAAGGCAGCTCAGGAGAAGAAAAAAAACCAAAAACAAACTTCTTGCACAACTTCAAATGAGGAAACACAAGGAAAAATAACACCTTTTTCTACCTGATTTCTCGTGAAAACAAACGGTGTATAAATTACGGATGGCTCCTCGTTGCCCGCGTCTACCCTAAAAAGCCCTCGGCAGCTTTATAGTGAAGCAATGAAAGTCTCGCAGGGCATTTCCCAGCCTGCATCTGCGCTGTTGTTACTGTGGTATTTTGGAACATCTGTCATCTGCTTGGGTGTGTGTTTGTGTATGTGTGTGTGGAACTCTGGCAAAATTACGCGTGGATGTCTGGGAGTAGCTCTCCAGGGTGTTTTACGCTCTCTGAAGAGAAAACAGGCTGAGAGAAGCTGATGTTGGAAATTAGTGAAAGGAAGCTTTAACTTGCCATTTAGCCAGATTGTAGAGGAGCTTCTGTTTTGCCTCAACACTCGCAGACTAAGTGGGCGACTGCCATCTTTAAGTTGTTTTTTTTTAAATACCACAACTACAAAAAGAGACACTATTGTCTAAAAGCAGAATTTTTTTTTTAGATTATGCATTTGGGTCAAAACAACAAGCAGAAATCTAATTTTTCACGACTGAATGAACTTTTCATTTTAAGTTGTATGTGTACATTCAGTTGTACATGACTTTTAATGCAAAAAGCCCCCAAGCTAACTGTCCCACGTGAACCCTCAGGGGCAACTAAATAAGAAATGTATGTCATTTTGTCTTTATTTCACCGCACAAAAAAAAAAAAGGGAAAAGACTTTTGGTTGAAAATTTAATCGCTTAATAACAAAGTACAGATATTTCTGACCGCACAATATGTTTGGTGGAGTTCAGTAACGCTTTGGTGGCTTACGGATGCTTAAGGGGGCAAAATGCTGTCAGGATGACTTGCTCTGTTTGTCCCAGCTGTGTCTGTTTTTATTTATCCCCGAGAAACAAACTTAAAAAAAAAAGAGCTGTGAGCCCGCTTCCTCCCCCGCTAAAACATCCAGACCGGTTTCTTAAAATAACCCAGTTTTTAGGGATGAGCGGGAGAGCGAATGCAAAAGGAGTTGCAAAATCAAATATGGAAAGAAAACAGACCAAAAATAGGCCACCGAGCCTTGCGTCACCAATTTGTGCAATTCAGCAGAGCCGTGATGACAAACACAGGGTGGCTTTTGTTGACATAAATGGGGGGAGATGGTTCTGATGTCTGTCTGTCTGCATGACTGTCTGGATGACCCAGAAGTCTCATATCAGGAAATGTCAAATTATCCGCTGATGAAACGACTACAGGGAGTCAGATCGTAGCTGGGATGTATTGAAAAGCAGAAGTTTGACATTTTGGGAGATACTTTGAACTTTTTTTTTAGCATCAGGAAACTGAGTAATCAGCTTGGCTCATTCAGAAATTCAGGGGGGAAAAAAAGCGAGGGCTGCACTGGGTCAAGAAGGAAGTCATAATAAAACACTAAATCAGTTCCTCCTTCAGAAGAGGTCAGGAGGGATGACAAAATAATGACTGTCCCCCTTCTGATTAATGGATTTTCTTGGTATAGCAGCTCACCAACTATCCAAGGCATGCTGATTTTAAACATAAAAGTTCCTTACTGATACCAGATAAACCACTGTGTTTCTTCATCAGGGTAACATAATCATATCTGCTCGAATATTTCTTGAATGTGGGAAGTAACGTCCTGGGATCCCTACTGGTTGCATGGCAACCTCACAAAGACTGCAGGTAGTGTTTGCTCCCAGCCAAACAAACAAAAGCACAAAGCAGGAGAAAACACAAAACCCAACACTGCAATGTGCTGTTTTTACACTTCACTTCTTGTGAGGATTAACGATCACAATGAGATGTGCTAACTAGCGAGCAGCAGAGGTGCCAGTCAGGTGGATTTCAGTAACTTTGCACAGAGTCGGGTAAATCATTTACCCCATCTCCAATCTTTATGTAAACTTGAGCAACTGAACATATAAGCAAAGTCTGTTTCCCAATATGTCAAAACTAAGCTTTCTAAAAAAAACAAAAAAGCGTGGCATCAATAAGAGATGGACCAAACATAGGAAAATGAAACAGACAGTACAGTCAACAGGATTTAAGTCTGATTAAAAGTGAACATCCTCCAGGCACAGTATCGTTATCATACATTCAAAAGGACATATTTAATTAACAGTTTCAAGACAACTTTCTAAAATAATGGAATGCAAAAAAACTCCCCAAAAAAACAATGTTCATGTTTGGATCTTTGTCTTTATCTGGCTGGAAACTCACTTTTCCTTCCAGATGCTGTGTGCAGAGCTTTGTACTGCCAGTCAAACTCTGATACCACACCCAGCGGTATGTGGGAGAAGTGGAGAAGAAATGTGTAAAAGAAAAAGAAAAACAGCCTCCTCATCTTTTTTTTTTTCACGAATATGGAGTTTACAGAGTTATCACCGAAGCATTTCCAACATTCTTCTCTTAGAAAACATTTAAAGAAGTACGATAAATCACTGGAAGTCTTTTTAACTCTCTCTCTGACCTCAGTGGTCATTCCACATGAACTGGCAGCTGCAGGAAGCCTCTTCCATGTCTGGGCCACAAATGCACAATGTGGCGGTAAACACACATTATCGGGAGGTTGGGAGGAGAGAGAGGGAGGACGAAGACCAGAGAGAGAAAGATAAAGATCAAGACAGTTAAGACAAAATATTAAAAGGAGGAATCAGCAAAGACAGCGAGGCACCAATCCATGAGAAATAAAAAAGGAATAAAAGGGAAGTATTCATTTCGTCTTCCTTCTATCACTCTTTCATTACGCCTTCCCATCAATCTTGTTTTTTTGGACAAATTTAGCCTGACCGTGGAGCGCTGCAGCCACAGAACTGGGACAAAACGAAGTGGAACTGCGCTGTCACATTCCTCCACGATTGATTGAGCCTTTTATAGTTGCGTGTGCTGACCAGTTTTTTTTCTTAATGTGAGCCAAGACTGGATGTCCACAACAGGGGCGGAGCCAGAGGGGTGGCCATCACACCCCGAAGTCTGGCCACCCCACACATCCAATAGTGAAGCCTATTAGTGCTCATAGAACTGAAGCTACACCCTGTAACTACTATTTTTTTTGGCAGAACTTTCTGGCAGAAATGTCTTTTTCTTAATACTACCAAGCTGTTCTGACCAACCAGAGGATGTTCACACTGATTTTGTAGCACTTCAAAGATGGCAATGGAAAGTGTAAGACAGTACAAAAAAATGCATCTGCTTCTTGTATGTAAGTCAGAACTCTGTTTGCACATGTTGCTAGTTAAAGAGTGTACGGCTGAAGTTTAACTGTGGATTTATTTGAAGCTCTTTTACAGACCCTTAAAGACTGCAGGAATGAAACCTACTTTGAAGAGCTGAGTGCTACAAACTGCTGAATGTAATATTGACTCACTGTCTGCAGCCAAAAGAAAGAAACCGAAAGGCTGGATGGACACGGTGTGATTTCTCAACTCGGAGGGAGCAGAGCAAGGACAGTTTGACATCGATGTTTCGTCTACTTTTATAAGTTAAACTGTATTATCTTGTGAGCTTTATGTACTGTTAAAAAACCAGAACTTTAGCAGTCGTTCCAGGTTGGACTCAACTGAGGCGTACGCAGAAAGCTTATACTGTATATGAGTCTTCATGTACTTCTACATGGCAGTCTTACATAAACAAATGATGAATCTGAGGGACCAAAAAGTTGACTATTCTCAGCCTGAGACCCTCATAAAAACACCACCACTATAGACAAGGTATCACCAGTACAACCAAGACATAGCGTCTGTTGTAGGTGAAGGCCAAACTAAGAACCCTGTAAAGCTTGGACCATGAAATAATTGCCAGAAAATTCTAATTTTTTGAAACTGGAGTGTTAATCGAACCTTTGACAAATTAAAAGAAACAATAAATTAAATCCAAACTTGCATATCTTAGTTAGGGTCCGAGCACCCAAAAGGGTGCGAAG